TTCCCCAGTATATTCTATCCAATTTTGTTTTCATTACAGCAAGTCTTTGAATCCCTTCTGTTTGGATTTTGTCTGCCTGCTGTCTAAAGTGATTAAGACTCTCTATAACAATACCAAAAACAATACCTCAAAGCTGTTATATAGGCCCAGCAGACATTGCCCAAAGACATGATAAGAAAATCCTGTAAATTCTGCAAAACCCACATGTACAGGGCAAAAGGGTTGAGAGAACGATGCTGAAAATTCTATGGAAAGCCAAAATGTGTAATCTAAATGTCTTGAAAGAGATATGTAGATAAATTATCACAAACATCAGAGAGAAGCAGACATATATTCTTGGTCACACTGTGAAGAAAAAAAAACGAACAATAGAAATAAACTCACAGGGAGCAAGTACAGCAGGGATCTACCAGTCGTCAGTAGAAATTATCCTCGTCAACGAGCATTTCGGCCCACGATTCCTAGACGCTTTCGGAGGTGGGCCCACCTGAGTTCATGAAGCTCAGGGCTGGTTCCCTGCTGCACGAAATTACCGGATGGTGTTTTTCTTTTGGTTAGAGACAAGACGACTTGGTGGTTTGCAGAAGGTACTGTGAGATAAGAAGTTACCGCGGCAGCCTAATTAGAACAGTCAGCGTGCCTGGACGACCGAGCGACAAGCTTACAATTGGTTTACCGGACACATGTTGGACTTTATTAGCAGGTGGCAGAGGATCACTGGCAGACAATTCGGACACGATGGACTTTCAAAGGGTGAGAAACCCTTTTCCACTAGAGACCCGGACCAGCTCACCGAGGCCCGTCCCCTACGTTGTTGCGTTGCGTCCAAAGCCAGCTCAAGGCCCTTTCCGCTGCCTCGCCCAGTTTTTTAAGTGTTCGTTTCCGTTCATTACCGCGCAATCCTAGTTCTTTAACCACATTGTAGAGCGAAGTGGAAACGAGGCCTCTCGCTCCCACTTCGACGGCAAAGACCCGTACTGTGTACGCCTCGTTTCTCCTCAGAACGGCTGCTAAATCACTGTATTTCTCAAGCTTATATGTGTGATTCTCTTCCATACGCGACTCAAACGGGACGGTCAACTCAATCAGGATGAGCTAACGTTTTTGCGCAGAGTGGAGAACTATGTCAGGTCGCAGGCCGGTTTTACGGATCAACTCGGGGTACCTTTCATGGCCCGGCAGATCAACCGCCAGTAACCAGTCCCTCGCAGAGTCTAGCACAGATGGAGCGAATGCGTTTTGGTTGACCTTACCTTTTGGAATCTGTCCAGCCTTGAGGAAACAAATGGGGATGATGGTAGAACTGGCTCTGGCATTAGTCCTCATTCTAGCCTGGTCAACAACGGCTGCTAACTCTTTTAGCACCTTGTTGTGTCGCCAGGTATATCGGCCTTGACCTAGGGCTTTCTTGCACGCGGACAGGACGTTTTCTAGAGTCTGCTTCGCTTTACACAACGGGCAAGTCAGATCGTTAGTCGCAGACCATTTAACCATGTTAACACCGGACGGTAATACATCGTACGCCGAACGAACGATAAAGCTCAGTCGCAACGGGGTCATCCGCCAGATCTCACCCCAAGTGAGTATTCTTGGCAATGCGCTCTCCAGGCTTACCCAATGGCCCTGCTGTGACTGCTGGGCTGCTTACTGGACCCGAACCTCGTTTTCGTTGCCCCTGACCGTTTGTATTACCATGTCTCGGCGCTCTTTGGCTGAGGCCTTTGACCACCAATTGACCTTCCTGTGCCCTAGGCCTCGACGGTCGGTTTGAATGTATCCCATTATCTCCTTCAATTTTAGTGCATTCTGGGAAGATTCTATCACATCGAGGACTCTCCACTTCTGGCCAGTCTTTAGAGCGGGCTGGACAGCGATGACATTTGGGTCTGAAGACTCGCGCAAGAACATGGCGAGTCTTACCTTGCCGACTTTAAACTTTTCTGTTATCGATTTGAACGGGAGTACCAGCTTTGCCTGCTTACAATACAGAGCCACGTCGGTCAGACAAGGCAGTGCACCAATCCACTTTCTCAAGGCTGTGTTGATTTTCCTCTCTATGGTTTCCACTGCAGTCATCGTCACCTCGTAGACTAACAGTGGCCATAGGAGCTTTGGAATCAACATGAATTGGAGACACCATACCTTGAATTTCCCGACCAGCCTGCAACGCTCGATCGCGAGCAGGCCTGTAGCCAGTGACTCGTGTCAAAGACATGATAAGAAAATCCTGTAAATTCTGCAAAACTAACATGTACAGGGCAAAGGGGTTGAGAGAACGATGCTGAAAATTCTATGGAAAGCCAAAATGTGTAATCTAAATGTCTTGAAAGAGATATGTAGATAAATTATCACAAACATCAGAGAGAAGCAGACATATATTCTTGGTCACACTGTGAAGAAAAGATTCTTCACAGCTTTTCTGACATGATATGAAAAAGTATCATCACAAAAATTAATACATGCTACTGGAGATCACAAGATGTGGAGAAGTATCATCATCATCAGTTCTTGTTATGCCTAGTGGCACATGAGGCTTCAGAGAGGACTTTCCATGCTTTCCTGTCCTGTGCAATCTTCAGTGCAGTTTTACATGTCAAAGATGCCGCACTCAGATCACATCGTTCGTCTCCATGTTGTTTTTGGGCGCCCCTGTTTTCTCTTTCCCTCTGGTGTCCATGTGAGAGCTGTTTTGGCAGGTATATCAGAAGTCATTCTCATAGCGTGGCCAAGCCATTTCCATCTTCTCTCTCATGGAGAAGTATGACTGTCTAAAACCAGCCAGCAAAGCACTTTATCAACCCTCTAGAGTAACACCAAATCTAGCCAAAGATCTATCTTTTCATGTCCATTGTCATTAATGTATACTGGCACACACAAAAATTACAACTCTATGATAAATGTCTGCACTTACATGAGCAACCAAAAAAAAAAATTTTTTTTAAAAGAAAGTCACCCATTATTTGTTTTAAAAAAATGTACCTTAATATTCAGAAGCATCTAAAAAAGAGTTATAAAATATGACACAATAATCAATAAATTAAAATGTATATATAGTTCATGAAACAAGATATACATTAATGTAACTTGAATAAGAAGCAAGAAATAAACATGACAAATGCATGTTTTACAGCGTGTCTACAAATATATACACATAATTACTGCAAACAAGTCATGGTATATTTGTCATCAATGTCTAGATCAGTCAGCTTCAAAAGTTGATAAACCATAACAACTTTACATGTCCCCTTTCATTTGAAGTATAAATCTTAAACTACCCTTGTTTCATACATGTATCAAAACAAATATATGTGTATAGAGATTTTAGACACCATATAAATACACAAAACACACACACACACACACACACACACACACACATATATATATATATATATATATATATATATATATATATATATATATATATATATATATATATATATATATAATGTCATTAACCTATGAAAGCATATAAATGTAAGAATATCAACAACAAAATATGACAAACAAGTCAGAAATATGTAAGCAAATAGGATGGGAAAGAAGACAGTTTAAGGGCCACAATATTTGCGGAGGCAATTTTGATTTGCATCATAACATTAAAATTATCCAACACGGTGCTGTTAATGCAATTAAATTCCACGTTCTTAACAGTGAACTAAAAAATAATTTTTATTCATCTTCACATTACAAAAATGCTCTTTTTCGCAAATGAGGTGAGTGGGTGCATGTTATGTGGCTTTCTGGGGGTAGGTATGCCTAGCCAGCATGCAAAGTCTGGATTCGGCCTACTGTGCGGATGAAATCATCTTGGTTCAACGAGTTCAAAAAGGGGACTACCAGCAGGCTCTGCAGAAAGCCTTGAGCATGGCAAGGCACCAAAGAAGCCCTGGTCATCCAATGCACCTAAGTTCCTCTCCAGACGTCTTGATTCGTGTTGCCAATGGACTTGGATGGATTTGGAGAGAGTGGGGTCGACGAATTGCTTAACTCTTCCTCACCTAAATCAAAATCACAGTGAAGTCGTACTTTCATCCATCCCTCAAATTTACCATTGGATCAAATGACTGGCATCATCACTTGTGATAGATGAATACAACAACAACATGTGGCTTTCACTATGGGGGGGAGAGGGGTCACAGGCTGCTACACTATTTTTACACGGCATTACTGCTCTACTTATGACATACAATAAGAACATTCAGTCATCACTAATAGGAGAAATGTAAAACTATCACAGCTTGTATGTATTACAGAGGAGGCTGCCATTTTTTTTTTTTTTACTGACTGCATTCTTTTTTGACAGTTAAGGATGTAAAAAAAAAAAAAAACAGTAACAGGACTTTTTTTCAATACCACTGGCCAACTGGGCATATGATGCCAGACTCATATTTGTAAAGACCAATCAGTAACAGAAAAGCAATGAGGTCAGTAACACCCCAGCCACTTTTACTTCCCCTCCACTTTACTCAGTAGCTATTTAGGGCTGGGTTGTTCTCGAAGCCAATTTTAAACTTAAATTTGTTTTTAAAAAATCCAACCTAATGTGGATTTAAACCCAAGACCTTCAGATGAGAAGGTGAGCATCTATCCACTCCATACTGCAGCTCCAAATTCAAGATGTAATCAGAAAAATTGTGCTGCATATGAAAATGAATACAAGTAATTATTTTCTGGTTTAGAGATCACAGATAGTAAAGTAAAGGACCTTTTTCCACACCTTCAGGCGTACTGGGCATATGGTGTTAACACCTATATTCTATAGACCAATCGGCACTTGGTGAGTGATGTTGGCAACATCTAGTCAACATCATTTACTTCCCAGGACTTTATCTCGTACAAATTTAAGTCTGGGTCATTTTTTTAGGGTGAAAACAAAAAAGTCTGGCTCCATTCAGATTTGAACCCATGAACTTCAATGTTACACATGCAATATAAAACCATACATAGACATTTTCCCACTGCCCAACTTACCATGAGATCTGTCAATAAAACCCTTGTTACTGCAACTGATGAACAGTGTAAGCTGTCGAACAACTAAAGTCCAGAAAGAAGGGGCCTTCATTTCCCGCCTTGAACGTGCAAGGTCTCACATTGTAAACACCACCTGAGATGTTGGACAGCTGAAGCACGCAGTAACCTGGCCTGAAGTCACCTGATGTTGTTTTCTTGAAAGCTCCTGGAGCATTGGCTACGTTTTCACTGACACATATGACCTCAAAGCCCACACTGTACTGCCTGTTAAGGTTTCAAAACAGAGATCTCAGTCAAGGCGTTCTAGCAAAGACAATAATAATAACAGATTTGAAGGAAAGAAGTAATCACACAAGATACTTCCCTGTGTGGGTTCTAGCACTCCATTTTGGAGAACAGAAGAGCAGACTCACTGCCTCACTAATTAGCATGTCATATGAGGCAATTAATTAGGGGTGTTTCCTTAAAGTTGGAGTGCATCTGCTTGATAGACAAGGAACTAAAAGTCTGCACATAACAAAGTCAGATATGTAAAACTGATTTGCAGAACTCAAGTTCTGGATCAAGACCAAAGTCCAGGAGTGGACAAACAACAAGAACTTTCCGCTACAGTTTACAGCTGATGAACTTTAAGAAGAAAAACTTCCAACAAAACAAGCCCTCAACCAAACTTGTTTGTGATTAGCTGGATTTTGCAGGTAAATCTATGCGTTGAGGTGGCCAGTCCTACAACAACCCTCTTTAACTGCCTCTTATGACATGCACAGTTGAATATAGTGTTACTATTCATTGCTTCCATTATGAACCCTTGTAATGCAACAGCAATACAGGCTACTGCCAGAATCAATTCTACAGATGCAATTAACTTTTAGTCCCAGATTTTTATAGCTGATTCTGAATAAAGCAGAACACAAAAGCATGGGTATACTGCTTCTACAGGGTCCAAATACTCAGCATATTATGGGTGACTTGTGTTATTGGGTTGACTCAGTTTGCCCAACTAAACTTAAGATATTCAGATACATAAACATATATATTTGTACACCACTAAATCCACCTACTACTCTTTCCCTCATTAAAAGGTTTTTTGAAAAGAAAGACAATAGAAATCGCAAGTGTCTAATATAGTTAATGTCGCAATCATTCTCTGCACAGATATAGAGATAGTCTGGTTTTCCAACTTTGGATTACACACCATATAATTGTGTCTTTATATTAGTGGTCGTTTAAATGGTGTTATTAGCACAGTAACAAAAATGGTCAGTTTGTATTTTTAAAGGAGACGGAAGTAAAGCTACTACTGTACTTGTAAATAACAAAGTAAGTCGTAAAAAAATTAGAATAGTGGAGGAAGTGTTAGTAAAATATAAACAAATTAACTAATGAGAACTTTAAAATCATATGTTAAGCTCTTTAAGTGAACAATTTCAGTCATTACCCCCTCCCCCCCATTCACCGACTACTGCTCTCTCCCTCTTCGAAGGATTTGAAAATCATCACCTAGCGGTATTTTTTTTTTGTAACTGACATTGACATCCCTGTCCATCCGGACTAAAATGGGGAGCAGGAATTGTAATAGGTAGTAAATTGGGCTAGTGTAATATTTACAACATCACCCTTCAAGTACCAGTACAACTACTACAACGACCACCACCAAAATAGCTAAAATAATGTCACTGCTATCTGTTTTACCATCGGAGTAGACAGGGAGTCGTGAGCCAGAAGATTTGGCACCACATGGCTAGTGCTGTCGCCACGGACTGGTCAGGTTAGGATGTATAATTTCGCTTCCCGACAGAAGAACGCTATAACCTTACCGGCGGTCTTCGCATGAGAGCACTACAGTGTAACCGCCCAACCACAACTACTACTGCTGCTGCTACTTTGAGTGGGTAAGGCAGTTACTGTGACTTAAAGCTCTCTCAGTAAAGAGTGCACCCCCCCCCCCTCAATTCACCGACTACTCTTTCCCTCATCGAAGTAGTTAGGAGAAGAAAAAATTGAAAATAGGAAAAATACACCATAATTAGGAAATGAACGCTATGGTAAAAAGCACAGCTTAAAATTCCAAAGCAGATTAAATAATTAAATCTAAATGAAAATAAATGGAAAGCTATGAAATTTCAGCATAACCATGCAATCGGAAAGTTTAAAATGATATCATAAGCATGTGAAATGGTAAAATTTAATTATCAACTGGTTTATCCACATACCAGCCCTTTTTTTTCTTTTTTAGTATTACCGGCCACATGGCTAGTGCTGTCGCCATGACAGTGGAGGTGAGGATTTTATTTTGCCCCCGGGGTTAAAAAAATTTTTGTTACTGCGGATTCGAACCCTGGTCTCCCGCACAGGAGCCCAGTGTTCTAGCCATTCGACCAAGCAACCACTCTATCGGAGCAGCGAAAAGAGAACAAAACTATTTAAGATGGTGTTCCTACTACAATTATAACACAACTCAAAACCGCAGGCAATTATTTTCTCATAGACAGATATTCCAGATATATTACTGAAACGGCACAAAAGAAATGGCACCTGTCTAACACGGTTAATGTCGCAGTCATTGTGTGCGCAGACGTCCAGATATTCCTTAATACCCCCCTTTCCAATCCATCAGCTACTTTTCAACTCATCGAAGGTTGTTTGAAAAGACAGAAAATAGAAATCGTGTCTAATATGGTTATTGTGGCAATCATTGCCTGCACAGATATAGATATCTTGTTAGCTGTACCATGGCCTTCTCTATTTATTAGAGAAGGCGTTGGCTGTACGTATCTCGCCGGCGAATGGTGGAAGTCTTGCGTTCTGACTACGGCGCATGAGCATTTACTAACGTGGCTATAATTAAACGTCACTAAAAATGGAAATATTAGTTTCGAAGATTTTTCCCAAAATTGTGGTCAATCTAACAATGACAGGTTGAATTTCAAACCATGAAAACATATCCTGAAAATTTCAGCTAAATCGGTTTAGTAGTTTCTGAGTCTATAGCTCATAAACAAACAAGGAAGAAAGAATGAAAAAGTGAAAAAGGAAAGAACAGGCAGATTAATAGTTATCAGCCACATGTACATAAAATATAAAATAGGCGAATCAGCCATGTGCAAGTGTGGACTGGTACCTGAGACAACAGTTCATGACCTCCAAGACTGTCCCAAACACAACATATCAAGGCAAAACTTTTGGCCAAGAGAAACATCAGTGATAGTCAAACTTTATGGGTTGCTGAGTGAATTACAACAGACAGTAAAGTTCATACTAGAGACAACACTGCAGAAATAGATAATCTATTTCAAGTGAATGAAAGAAGAAGAAGAAGAAGAAGAAGAAGAAGAAGAAGAAATCAAAGATGTATCTGTAATCTTTCAGAATATCTTGCAGAACAACATGTCACATGAGGAATATACAATGAGTAGCAGCAGTAGAAAATAAACTGTTAAGATTCATATTTTTTATATAATAATATAATGCTTACTTTGGTCCCAACAGCTCGATCATGAGGTGATTGTCTGTGTTGTTGTTGTCAATGTGAACCTGGTACAGAGGATTGTTAATATATGTCTCCCGATTGTTGGCACAACCTCCAGCAGTTTTACCTTTCCATTGTCCAGTTATCTGGTCAGGAAATAAACATAAGTTATTGTATCATATAAACTATTTGGGTACTAAGTACACATCATGCATCAGTTTACAGCTAATTTAATTCCTTGAGTACTGAAAAAAAAAAAAGTAAATGAATATATTTAACTGTAGTTCCTGCACGGAGAAGATATAAGAGGGAATTCTGAATATTTTTTAATCAGCGTATCAGTAGAATGTTCAGCATCTACAGATTGCAGCATCAGCTGTGGGAAATGGAGCATATATGTGTTTATTCAGAATGTTATGACAGTTCAAATCATCAATCAAGGAACAAAGTACAAATCAGAGACTGGACTATATAACTGAACATTAAAAAAAATTTCAAGATTTTAAATTACTCAATACACCACATAGTGTAAACTGATTCCTGTATTACTTTATTATACTTCATTTCCAAACATTAAAAAAAAATTGAGTCATTATTTTCTCCCATAATCACAAATAATTACTTACTCTTTGATCTAAGTGCTTCTTGTACGGATTTGAGAAACGTGTCAGTGTGAACTCGCATGTGCTATACACTCGAAGTGTATAGTGTGTGGTGTTATTTTTCTCATACTGAGATATCACCAGTGTGTAAGGTTCCCTCGTAGATTCCTCAACCAATTTACACAGATAATGAGGGCTGTTAATACGCACACCATCCTTGTAAGGTGGAGGGTCATCTAAAATGAGATATAAGTGATGAAGAAAATAAGTAAAATTACACACATAAACATATACATAAATATATCCATATACAGAAATTTCTATAAGTTTCCCATGCACAGAAAATATAAATATATCACCAATGTCATTACAAGCATAACTCCATCTGGGCTTATACATTTTCTTCAGTAGTGACGGACACACATCAAAATGTGTTTTCAAAACAATCTTAGAATATCTTGGACTACTCACATGGGTAAAATATTTTTTTGCCTCCAGTTTTGTACACAAGCACTGTGATAAATTCCTTGTTGTCTGCAAAGTCAGCCTGTATGAGAATACATGAGAACAGTTTTGATATTTTTCAATTGCACAATTCAGCACTTACTTTTGAAATTAAATCTGTAGTCTTAATAGCATGATCTATAGGCTTGAGTGAGTGACTATTGTACTATATGCTTCAAGCCTACTTTAATGTGCTAGAAATCCCAAAACACACAACATGTGTATTCAGACCACCTGAGCAAACCTCAAAACATGTACAGGATGACGCACCATGAAATATGCCCAGAATAGACTGAAAAATATACTGTGTTCTCATTATTAAAACTCACAATGATAAACAATTGGTTTGTATTAGGAATAATGATCTCATACCTTATCTGTGATATGCCTTGTCAATAGTATCCACACAGCAGCATTCTGATTCCCCATCACTTGAAGGCAGTACTGAGGATTGTCACTGATGTTGTAGGAATCCTTCTTGGGTCCTTCTTTAGCATTCCATGTACTGAAGACGACAAGAGACATGTTGCTATGAATGGGGTGAGAGGATGAGATCAAGTTTTCTCTTAAAAGATCAATATATTAAAGATTTAGTTCATGAAGTTAAAATAAATCACACCAAAGTCACCAAAGTTTCAAGCTGCCCAATGGGCAACAAAATTAAATTGTATTTAAACAAGTAAATTAGATAGAAATAATTTGAGAAATACTTTGTTTTATAAAATAATACTTATTATTTTCTCCTTTGTGACATTTATCAGCTGTAAACTCAGGTATAAAGTTCTAGATTTTTCATCTATTTCTGGGCTTTCCTCTTGTTCTAACTTCGGTTTTGCATGCATATCAATTTTTCAGATCTGGCCCATTTGTATGCAGACTTAGTTCCTCATCTCTCACGGAACATGAAGTTGCACTGCGACTTTGAAACTCCCCTAATGAGTCACCTGAATGAATCCCTTGTTAGGAAAGCAGTGGGTCTATTTGTTCTGTTTCCCCAAAATGGGGCCCTGGAACCATGGGTTCACACTTATAAACCTATAGATTTTGTAGAAATGAAAGAAGGCAATAAATAACTATACACTGAAATATGATAGAATTTATAATAAATTAAATCTGTGTGTGTTCAGTGAATGGACAACTGCCAGTATCAGTTATAAGACAAAGAATATGACAATATTCCAGGCACATCATAAGAAGAAGTGCACAGGCAAATCACCCAACAGGCACTGAAATAAGAAACAAAATGGCTTTTTCTGTGCCCCATACCAAATATTTTTTTGTAACTGTTGCACAGTAGTGTAAGCCTAAATATTCCACCACAAACATTTGAGCTCTGTAGTACACATACATTTGAAACATAGGATCATGAGAATTATACCAAAAGCCAGTTTAAGTAATTTAAGATATTCGAGTTGTGAGCATAAACTTTACTTATTAGTGTGTACAATCCCATACTAGAGAATAAAACACAACAGCCAATTGACTGAGCTGTAGCATAAAGTATGCCCTTGGAATTGAACCAAAAGTTGTATTTAAATCAAAAGCTTAGTTATACTTTAGTTTAGCATATTAGTTTATTATTAAGTTTAGGTTAGGTTTAGATGACGGATCAACATCATGGCACAAGGGTAGTAACCCATAAGTGCTCTGTAGATATTTGTATATATTAAAATGTTTACATATATTATATATAGATATATTTTTATATTATATTTTAATATTTTTCATATTAGTTTATTATTAAAAAGATTCAAAGGTTTTCATTTCTGTTAAATATAGTCAAAACATCCTTTAGCAGGACCTTAGGTTAATAAACAAATATGTGGCCTGGGGAAGGAGAATTAAAAAGCTGAATTTCCAGAGATAATAAAGCAGCCATCCCGCAGAAAGACAATGATACTCACTGGTGTATACATGTTGTGTATGAAAACAAGTCGGGGTCCCAGTTTATATAAAAAACATCAAAGAATTTGCACAATGATCTGTAATCAATCCAGAAGACACCTGAAAAGAAAAATCAACATTTAAAATAGCCACAAGGTGAATAACAAATGTAAGCAAATCTTAATCTTCACTGGATCTTGTCAGGTGTGTTCCTACAGAGTTACGTCAAAAACTGAAGCATAAAAACTGAATAAATCCAGCTGAAATGCAAATAGTTTCTTTCGTCACATTGTGGTGTGTTTTGGCCACTGCAGTCACGTGACTTACCAGGGTAACTTCAAATTACTATAAAGTGTGCTTTATTTTATGTTAATGTAACTCTGTAGTAACACAACTGATGAGATACATCTAAATATGCCTGCAATAAGTTGTGCAATGTATTGTTTGTGTCCGCTTTATTTAAATTCATTATGGGAAAATATTGTTTTGAATGAGCACATCTCATAAACTCTATACATCATGTTCTGGGAAAACCCTGTGTTTATTCTCAGGAAAATATACATATTCATTTAGAATTTGTAGCTTTCAGATACATCATTAATTAAAACGCTGTGCATCTAATTTTACTATCCCATTAATATGCCCAGCTGCGTCCGTGGCTTAGACGTTGCGAGTCCAACTCGTAATTCCAACGTACCGCAATCGAAACTCACTGCTGGCTGCATGGATTTTTATCACGGTATGAGGCGTCGCAGCCTAAAATGGGTACCAGGATGTATGTCCTGAAGGCCGACATAATGCTGACCACATTACCCATCTAGTGCTGACTGGTCTGTAAAAATATGGGTGCTCTATCCACATGCCCCATGCGCATAAAAGGCGAAAAAAGGGATCTTCTCTTTACTCAGTAATATGCCCAATAAATTAAAATGAGCTAAACAAGCTGATACAAAGTAACTAAACTCAACATAAAGCATAACCTGGCGGCTCAACGGCAGGCACAAAAAGCTAACAAAAACAAACAGTTTCAATAGTTTTACTCAATGAACACAATAACAGTAAGTCAAATCTAAATCTAAATGCCCTGCCTTAATCCTTCCTCACAGAAACCATTGTGGAAAAAGGTCTAGAGATAAGGAATTCCTGAAAAACATCTTTTGTAAAACAACTATTTTACATATGTCACATATGAGTTTGCAAAATGAAAAAATACTTTTAAACTTAAGGGGAGTAACCAACAATTGCAAATGGAGTGCATACACTCCCTTAGGCCTAAAATATTTATACTGCCCCATATGGTGACCTTTTGCGGTGTAACTGCTGGGGTAAAAGATGCCTTTTCCGTGCATTCAGATGTACTGGGCATATTGGGCTAGACATATATTTTATTGACCAATCAGCACTCAGTGTGTAATGAGGTCAACATCATGCCAGCCATCTTTACTTCCCAGGACTTTATCTGGTACCCATTTAAGCCTGGGTCATCGTGGGAGCCAAGATAATTTTTGAAGAAGAAAAACAAAAAAGGCTGGCTCTGTCAGGATCTGAATCCACAACCTTCGAATCTGCTAAAGAAAAATTACTTACTAAAGTAGGGGCAAACATTAAAATGAGCTACAAAGTATTATTTATAATTTATATTACTGAATTATGACAGCCACCAACTAAAAGCAAGTCCGGGAAAGAAAGAATTCATGTCATCAAACTATGGCAATAAAGAGGAATTACGAACATCTGCCATCCCTGATATTTCATGTGAAGCTAGAGCATGTGTATGTATTTTGTATAAACACTCTCATTGGGTTTGCTTCAGAAACATGAAATACTTGGAGTAACAGTAACAAAATGACAAGAAACGTGTGTCAGTAGACAGCAAACATTGATGAAACTCTAAACAGCCAACATCTGTAACAGTGGTATGCGAAAAACAGATGAAAACAGGCTACTTCTCGTGTATTTAATAAATACTGATAAAATGGTTTAAAAACAATTATAATATACATTATCATTCATTTATCAATACAAATCCCCCCCCCCCTCCCCCACCTTTCCAACCCATTCTCTTTCACTCTATTATGCACACACAAACACACATAAAATGCATAATACATTCCAAACATAGACAATTTTTACTTCATTAGATTATAAAGTTACCATTATCAAACATCTGAGCACTGTGTGGATCATAATTTAAAGCTTTTTGAAGTTCTGGTGTCCAATTGTCAAGATCCATCTCCGAGTAATGTCCCTTCCATCTCAAATGGTTCCAGGGATTTTTCAGCATAAAAAGTTTCTTGTCCTGTTTAAAGAAGAATCAATACTGTTTCATCATGTATTTATTCTTCTAGTAATACATAATGTTAACTCAATCATTTCATGCCTGTGAAAGTCAAAGAACCATGAAAGACAAGGAGGATAAGTTTAACGCATTTGAAAGCAAATGTCTAAAGACACTGATGAACAGTCAGGAGATGAATTCAATAAAGGCAAAGGAATCAGAGAACAATTTAGTCGAGTGGCTGCCAACCTTTTTGACTTAAGGAGCCTTTTTCAAATCATTTTCTATGGCAGAGCCCCCATAGGCTATCGGTACCCTAAGTCTTACAGGTTAACAGTGTTCCGAAGTAATGTTATGGAGCAAAATTAAGAGGTGGTCAACATTAGGGCAATTCAAGAGAAGAGATATCTAAACCATACAATGTTCATGCAATGAATTTATATTTCTAAAACTTTGAAATTTACCATAAAACTATATCCTCAACTACTACCAATACAAATATTGTTAAAACTTACCAGACATCTTCATTACCCTTTTTATCTGTCCAGGGTATTCTCATCATTTATCTTTAAACCCATATCTCCTCAGCTTCCAAATAATTTGTCACTAATTTACTAACTGCCCATATGTCAGGAAAGGATTTATATTGCTCTCAAGAATTCCCTTTCTTGTCTCAAATGACAAAGAAAGTTTGCATAGAACATTCTTTATGTTCTTTGGAATTTCTCCTCCCTTGGAACAGCTTCTATGGGAGCAGAAAGGAAGTCTTGAGATCTGTAACAACCAAACACAAAAAAACAAAGTAAAATATTACAGAAGAGGAATGGTATAGACAGTATGTGAAACTCTCACCTTGTACTCTCTGATGTCAAGCATGGCATAGGCATGAGTTGGTACAAGGCCTGCCCTATCAGCATCTGCATCAGATAGCTCTCCTGTAGCAACTGTCACTAAGCAGTGGCCTTTGTGGAATCTGTCCAGCAGACGCTTGAACTCTTTGTCTTGGTTGAATTCTGCAGAATTTGGTCTGATTGCTATTCTTTCTGGGATCCATTCAGTCAAAGCATGAAGATCAATATTCTGATGTGAAGACATAAAATATCAGGCATTTTAAAAAGTCATCATAGACAGAGAAGTTGAAAAAAAAAGTATACGTTGTCATAATCCTTTTTTAAATGATGTTATGTCACAGTCTATTATTTTATTCTTCACTGTCCTGTGCAGTTGTTTCAATATAATGAAAGAAGTCCAGTCCAGAACCTTTGGCCTCTCTCACCATTGTCCCTGTTATAGTTACTTTTGGATACATTCACCTCTTCGGTCAATTTGTTTCCCATTTAAGTACCTGTCTGGTGTTTCTTCGATAGCTCCTCCCCAGGATATGTCAATAAATCGCAATATAGCCATATTTTTTCTCTTATAACCGTTGATAGTAGCGGCTGTCCAGAAATGTCTTATATTTCTTTGCATTTTTTATTTCATATTTAATGTTCATCAATTTCCTTCAGCATTTGCTCTCCAACTGTTGCTGGCATAAGTTAACAATGACAAAACAATCAAACTGAAAATGTATATCTTGGTTTTAAAATAAACTATTTTAGAGTTTTATATTTTATTCAGGTATTTAAAGGCTGCGTTACCTTGCCAATGCATACTATGATTTTTCTTTGTTTAGTTACCTTGCCAATGCATACTATGATTTTTCTTTGTTTCCTAGAAATCACAGTGGCCACCTATATAAGTGAAATGATAGTACTTTATTTCTTTTTTTTTTAGGTCTCAAGTGTGACTTCTTGATCTGTTACTGTTGTCTTCAATACTTTGATATAATTAATAACTGGATTACACAACAAACATTATACTGAAGTCAGAAACTCCTTAAAAGAGACACATAATGCAAAGTAAATCTGATAAATCAACAATTATTTATCTACAGAAGCCTAACATTTTAGGATGCAAATATATTATTTACATTTGTGAGGAATCTAGCTGTGCTTTCATTATGAGTCAATTTTTACCATTACCTTAAATTTATTTCATGCGTTAATAAAAAAAATTTTAAGAAAAAAAAAGGTGAGAAATTTCAGTACATTATTACAAAGACACAATAACTGATAGAATAAAAAACAATGTAAAATTATCACTGCTTGACTCACAGAATTTGATCCAGGAAAGTCATATCCTCCCATAACTTTCATGTAGGCTTTTTCAAGCAGAGATACCCAGAGTTCATTCTTGTTATTGGAAAATGAACACAGCAGATCGCCATGCTTGGACATAGGTAGGAAGTCATCAATGATGACCTGTGTTTGATAAAATGTATAAAATGATAAAGAAATACATATAATTATATTATAGCCTATATGCAGACTGCAGATGTGCTTATGAGCGTGCAAGTGTGAGCACATGTGTGTGCAGATGTATGGGAATGAAGTTATCAGCTAAGTTATTACCTAAGTTACATATCTCTAATGATCATCAGAGAGCCGTAGTGGTATAGAATTTAGTTCATTTGCCTGCCAAACCAGTTGATCTGGGTTCAACAGACAGCAGAGGCAGGATTATTTGTTTCAACAATTTCACCTTTTTGCCACAGACAGATAGTGGACAATTTTAACAATTGTCTCAGAATCCTTAAAAAATGAAAGTGGCCTAGTTCATATAAAGACCTCAGACTCCACACCCGACTAACAGTATCTGCAATGGGACAGGACCATCTTTATCGTTACCCTCACTAACATACACCATTGAACTATGCATATAAGCTCAAATTGACTCACCTTCCTCCACACGCCATTCAAGTTAAACCTGACCATGTATTTACCACATGGGTTGTAGACAGGCTCTCCATTTTGGTTTTGTGGATATATAATGCTGAAAGTACACAAAAAAGCAATAGTTAAACATGACCAATATACATAGTTATATGGATGAAGTGATACCGGTCAGGAGTGTCCAACTCCGATACAAGTAGATTAATTACAAAAACCCTTACCTCATGTTGCTTGACTCTATAAGACCAGATTTCTAAACATTTTCAACATAAATCTACCTCTGAACATTGAGGATCTGTTAATCGCAAAATACCTAAAACTTGTGGAAGAAACATTACTAGAGTAGATCTTATTCTGACTGTCCATATGTGCTGTATCACAAATTGATTACATTCTTTCTGGAGATATGAAGTTCCACTGCCGGCTAAAGGACACACTAATTGTTTCTTATACTGGAGAGGGGAACGAGAGCCCTGCAATGCTATCCCAATGAAAATTACCTTTGCTGGAGGCTGAGGATAAAACTGCCTATATCAGCACATTCTGGTAAATGCAATCTTTCAGTGCTTAGATGGAACTTAGGTTTGAATTCGCTACAGGCAGATTAAGGGGAACACATTATGTTAGCTCCTGTGTCAACCTAGTCTAAAATGGGTACCAGGTAAGATCTCGGCAAGTAAGGACGGCTGCTGAGATGTGGCCACATAATCTTCTGGGTGCTGACTGGTCTTAAAAATATGTGTATAGCATTATAGGCCCAATTTAACACTGGCATAAAATGATTAATTAAGAAGAATTTGGAAGCAACACAGATGTGGTTTCTGAGGCGAATGTTATGAATACCCTGGACAGCCAGAGTAACTAACAACGATTGCTTGAAAGTAGCTAATGAAAGTAGATCTCTGTATACAATAGGAAACAGACAAACACTGTTCTTTGGCCACAAAATGAAAAGATAGACACTGGAGAACATCGTGGCAACTGGAAAGATCAGTGGAAAAAGGGGCAGAGGCAGACCAAGAGAGATGATGCTGGATGGGCTGAAATGATGGCATGGAGGGATATCATCAAGAGAGCTGTTCAAGGCAACCAGGGATCGTGAACTGTGCAGACGCATGAGCGCCTACGCAAGTTGGCAGGGCAAATGATGATGATGATTAAAAAAAAGGTAAAGTCGGGAGATGTGAACCAGGGTCACTGCACACAGTTATAAACTATAAGTGCTCTGCCACCAGTACGGACAGCTGATAAGAATTGTCCGCCTGTGTCGCCGTTCGCATGTAACTCTGTAGCTACAGAGACGTTCCTCCATTAACCCCAGAGTGTCAACTCTGGTACCCATTTCCTAGAGGCTGGGTGAAACCCGGGAGCCGCCTGGTTTCGAACATACGAGTTGCAGCTGGATTTGAAAGCAAGCTTCTTATCGACTGCGCTAACGCTGCCCCCTGATGATGATGAAATTATGCCCTAATTACTTTTCTTTTTTGACTGACAGACAACATTTACAAACAACTTTCACAATCAACAACAATACTCACGTGGTGATGAGTTTTTTCCTGAAACGTTTCTCATACTGTGCACTGATAGCAAGGGATGCTACAAAACTACAATCTGAAACAATAGTCTGTAAAGAAGGGGACATTTATTATTTTTTATACAATGTATATACAATGTTTGTACAGTCAATTTTTCTGAATTAATTATTTAAGTTTAAATAAGTCACAAGAACAAGGTAAAATTTTCTTTTAGTACCTGTCGTATACTAAAACTTGAGATGGCATAAATAATTTTTGGCTCATCACAGAAATCTTCAGGTCTGACCCATTTTCCAAACTGCTGCTTCTGTTTTGGCGAAAGAGTCAGTTTACCATCTTTATCACTGAAAAAAACAGAAAACAAGCAACTTGAACAAAAATCTTTGGTCAATAATTTCATATCTTTGAAAATGTTCATAATGTTTAAACAACTAAAGTGTTATATGCGGTTAATAAGATTTTAAGCATTGCAAAATCACTGTTATTTAATGTGCACGCTGGTGGTTATAATAACTCAGATGAAATTAAACAAACACTAACATAATAAGGTTAGCGCCTGTGGCTAAAGGACCATTTTCCACTGCTTAGGTGAACTGAGCATATAGGGCTAGACCTATATTTTATAGACCAAGCAGCACAAAGTGAAAGATGTAGTCATCATCATGCCGACCACCTTTATTTCCCAGAATTTTCTCCCAGGACCCATGTGAAGAAGGGTTAACCTGATGGCCACGGTCATTTTATAAAAAGTCCAGCTCCATCAGGGCCTGCATGCACAACCTTCATATCTGCAAACAAGCGTCTAGCCACTACACCATGGTGGCCCCCATGTGTTGCTAATGTTATTTAGAATTCTAAAATAACCAGTTCGATACGAGCTGTTGGCATTTAGGCAGCAGATCACTTTACAGTGGTATAGAGTAGACCGTTCAGAAGCAATGGCAAACTAAAACATAAAACTCTCTCATACAACCACAGACAACCAACAAATGCTATGGCTGGTTCTTCAATATCCTGTAACACAATAAAGAGGTTATCAACAGCTGCTTTTCGCAAAAAGTAAAAGTGCCAAACAATTAAAAAATGTCAACTTAAATGATAAAAGGAGGTTTTAAAGTGCTATACAGAACCTATGCTGTTTAATATTGGTGAAAAGGACCATTAACAAGAAAATCTTAGAAACAATCAGGCAAGAGCAATTATAATATTTGTTTCTAGTGACAAAATCCTCAAAATACTATCTGATAGTTTGCTGTTACCAGAACTGCTTTGAAAAGTCAATAAAAATAGCTTAAAAATATGTAAAGGCACCTGGTGTAATCTCATATAGCGCATTTTCTCTCTGCATAGCAGGTTTTCCATCAAAGATATCATACTCAGCATGAAACTCTATAGCTTCTGCGGTCATTCCCTGGGATTTATGAAACACTTATATTTGTGAAACATGGACCACAATAATAAAAACTCCACAGGGGAGCATGAACAGCTGGGGTCCACCGTCATCAGTAGAAAGATCCCTCCTCAACGATTGTTTCGGCCTATTACCCTGTATATAATCTCGCAAGATGGGCCCTACCTGGTCACAACTCCAGGCCTCAGTCTTTCCCTGCTGCACTTACCAAAGCAAATCCTAAATTTTCAGAGTGTGAAGCAAACAACTACTTTGCCATAGACACCAATTATAAATATTTGCTGTGATAACCTTCCATAGATAGCTGGTATAAGGGTCACAATGTTCAAATTGTGTAACAATAAGTTTACTAAAATCTCAGAAAATAAATATGCATCGTACTTACTTAAATGGTTCCAAAAAGGCAAATTTTTCTTTTTTATCAACTGCTAGAAAAGGCACATATTCACGACCATTAATCTTGGATGTACTCCTGCAAATAATACAGGATTACTTTGGGTTCAATAGATTATTATTATGATATGTACATGAGCAAGCAAAAGTAGCTACAAAAATATTTCACTGGCAAATGTATCTATCTCACTTGTCAAATTTGTCTGTTTTTTCACAATCTTTAGCATGTTTTACCTATGTGATATCAAAGCAATAAAGCAGTGTTCTCTTATTACAATTCATCTACACACACCCACACAAGAAATACAAGTCAGACCGCAAACTCATTTCCTGACATATTTCATCTTATCTTGTCAGGCATACACCGCAGTTTTCACACTCCTTATGAAACAAATGTTTGCTTTACACAATAGACACACACCTCAGTTTATTGAAGCTGAGGCTATCTTCCATTGGCGCCCATGCACCCATATGTAAACAACAACAACAACAAAAACAGGTAGCCAGTTCGCAGCCACTCTGGTAACACAAAGAGTGAATACCAACTGAATGCAATTACATGAGTAAAGCTTGGTGAAGCACATCTAAGCTGTCGGCGAGGCCAAGACTCTATAACCAACTGCTAAAAGGAACAACCAGTAGAGGAACCTTGGAGTGGCTGCTGGATAAGAGGACTGAGCATACATGGAAAATGCCCAATAGGCTGATTGTGATAATATAACAACTGAATGTTAGTCTATAAGTGTCTGTAGTTCAGAAAAGAAAAGAAACATTCATCTATACATTTAATTTTTTTAAATTTTGCACCTGAAGAGATACAGCAAGCTATGCAAGGCAATAAAATGTGATAACTGTTGTTCGTAACTGTTCTGATGGCACACATTTTTAATATTTCTTTTTGATTTAAAAAAAAAATTAAAAACCGCGATGCCCGAAAAATACATTTTACTGTCAGAATGTCTTTTCCTAAACTGATACGTCTGTCTTTACAATTCTCTCCTAGGAAAAGAAGGATGACAACAGTGCTGTAGAGAAAAATAATTATGCAAATGAAGGACATTCCTTCATCAATAGACCAACCTCCTACTGGTAGAACATTTTTAAAACTAAAGATGACACAACTATAATAAGGAAGTGTTATATAACAGAGAACATTTTCCACAAACCTAGTTCTTAGCATACCTGAGTACTGCAATTTCATCTTTTGAGTAAGAACTTGGCCCAACATTTATAAGAGTTTTCTTTCCTGATGAAACAAGTGATTTCCCATCACCTTTAACTGCTAGGGTTCCTGATGACAGCAATCTCTGTGTGGAGCTATTATCCTCATCTGTGTTAGAGAAAGCTCCAAATCCAAGAGGAGGCACAACTTTACCTGTGATATCATAAATATGTTGGATCTGATTATAGAAAAAGTAACTCAGCATTAATTAGTTCAGCCAAACAAAACAATAAAAAAAACAACAAAAAAAAACAGAACAAGCGAAACTACAAGGTAAAAAATATTTTTTCCACCAATTCAAAACAGGTTTCTTGAAATGACAAAGCCAGCCTGACTCCAGTTTGCGAAGTTATGTCATCTGAAAATTATATCCTACGACTTTTATTGATCACGTCTTTGGGTACAACAGAGTGGTAGAAGGGAATTACAATTGTTAGTACAAACTAGCACTTTGATGTTCAAGCAGTTTCTCATTGCTCACTTGTGACAGATATCTTAGGCAGGGAATGACTGATGGGGAAGCAAGTAGACAATTAAATTAACTTAATCCAACTGAGCTGATTGGCAGCTCTGCAATAACATTGCAAGAAATAAAGTTATTCATGTTGTCTCTGATGTTTCACAAACCTGTGTTGTCTAACTCAAGGGTTTCATTCGCTCTGCTTTTAAGCAGGTAGTTAGGACGTGGTAGTTTATTTTTTATGGCTGGGCTGTCATATTTGCACCTCTCTTCTCTTCATCTTCTTCATGTTTACTGGCTGTAAACTCGCAGTGGAAAGTTCTGGTTGCTCATCCACTTCTGGACTTCAGTCTCGTTCCAAAACCTGAGTTTTGTGTGCATATGTGTTTTCAGATTTAGATACATGTCGCGATGAGAGACCCAACAATGAGAGTGACTTCCCTTCCCATTGATGCTTCGATCTGGTGTAGCACCTCTAATATGTTGCAGGAGTTTCAGGAGTACTGTCGTATTTTACTCCTTGTTGCCAGTGGCAGGCAATATCACTTCTTGTGTGCTGTGAGTGCTTTTAACAGTCCCAAAACATGTACAACTAGGCCTAACCCCAACCCCCCTACTCCGCAGCCTCAGCCTATGTCTCATGACTGTATGCCGTTTCCATTATTCGTTGCCTACAGTCGTGCGATCCAAGATGCCCCCCCCCCCCCCGCTACATAGTAGAGGCCCTATACCAGATTGAGGCATCAATAGGAAGGGAGGTCACTCTCATTGTTGGGTCTCTAGGACCTAGATTACTTGTAAGCAGACTGTTAGTTCCTTGCCTCTCAGGCAGACGCACACTGACTTTTAAGAAACACTCCTAATTAGTTGACTTTTATGACATGCTTGTGGAGGGAGTTATATGTCAACAACCCCTACAAACAAATACTGGTCACAAAACCTTCACAGGGAGTGCATCACTAGCCATACTATCCAAATACAGGAGAGTGTTTTAATAATCACACTATTCATGCTACATCGCTCTAATAATAAAACATAATTTTAATTCATGGTAAGCCAATATTACGTGAACAATGTCAAAAAACAACCAACCAGTGATAGTGCGAATTGCTGGTCCTGGTGAAGATGTTGCTGAGGATGTGGAAGATGGTGCAGGCAGCTTAGCAGTTTTCTTCTTCAGTGCTTCAGCTCTGTAGAGATACAACAAATACTGACATGTTTTCTAACAATCGTATAAATTCATTCAAAAATGTACACAATGAAACAGGTATAATTGTCTTCTAAGCAAAATCTAAACTACATAGAACTGGGCCAATGATGATTAAAATAAAATAACAGACAGTCAAACGGTTCAAAAGAAAATAAATGCTAGTACTTCAATTACAGAAACAACAAAACTGGTGTCTCCACAAGAGAGGTGGGCTGCAGTACATCCACTGCTGTCTTTGGGGACAATAATATGCTGATGCTAAGTATTTAAAAATATACTTAAATGTACTCAATAACAGAAAATGTAACAAATATCTTAGATTAAAAATATGGAATAGAATCAGATTTTTGAAATACAAAATCAGTGCAACAGACATGACATATATTAGATATATTCAGTATTTTTGACATGTGACATGTCCAAATATAACATTATTTGGCTTATATTTTGATAAACTGTAGCATGAACATATGATAGTTTAAGTAATTGGTTTGCAATCAAATCTAAAGTGAAACAGGTATGAATTTTATCTGACTGATTGACATTCAACCCCAAGAGGACATCACACCGAGTGATAAACACCCAGTGAGACAAAGTGCCACCATTTGGATGAGGATCACCCGGGGACAGGTCCCAGAAACTCCGTTCAACCCATAGTTTGGGTTATATTAGGGTCCTCAGCAACAGCCAGGGTGGGTCCTCAAAAAAAAAAAAAAAAAACCTGCGTCCTACATGGGGATTAACTGAAATTTTAAGTAAAGTGATGTATTTTTATCTCCCCTGTTAGTTGACATTACTGACTAGGTGATGCAAAAATGGTACAAATGCTTTGTATATTATAATGTTCTGCTAAGTAAGAATAGCAATAATATGCAAAGAAATACAAATGTTTTAGCAAATACAACATCAAGATGTTGTCACTGGCATATATTAAAATGTTAACACAATTGTGATATGAAACAAAAAATAAATGCAGGAAAGATCATTTTGTCTGGGGCCATTGTAATTATAATTACCTGTCCAGTGCCTGTGTTGCCATTTTAATTACTTTCTCCTTCAGTTTTGGATCTGGGTTGCTGTCTCTCTGTTAAGTAATACAGAAGTAAATATTTACAAAATATTTAATACAGATCAGAAAAACCATATGCATACATTTGAAAAATAAAATTCAAGCATACAACATTTCAGATAACAAAAACCAATTTTTGGGGGAGATATAACAAAATATAAACAAATCAATATAATAATACTGTTTCAGATGTAATATCCTGGGCAGTAAAAGTGGCATAATGCTGATCAAATCATCCACAAAAGTGCCAACTGGTCTATCGTATAATATCAGTCTAGAATCAAATGCTCAAAGTGACACTGGTTTAAAAAGGGACCTATACTTTTGTTTACCTTTCTACCATTACATGAAAATTTATACTACAGCTGAGACGTCATGCGTCTAGATGTAATACACCAGAATGCTAACTTCTCTGACAAAAATATCAAAACACTAATGTGAAGTCACCAATCAATTTATCTGCAAGAAAAACTAGAAAAATACCTGAGTGTTTCACTTACAACTGACAAACACAAAGTGATGGCTTCAGAATACAGGCTGATGGCTTCTTCAGTGTTGTTTTGTTCATCCTCACCCAATGCCTCTCTCAGCAGGAAGTGAGCTCGCTCCACATCCAGCTATTCAAACAAGATTATATTAAAGTTATAACAGTCATCATCATCATCATAAACCATTTCTGCTATTAAGCTTCGTGGGGAGAAACAATTTGGCTACTGTCATACAGTAAAGGCATAATTATATTGTCTTTAATTAATGTAGTCAATCTATTTTTGTATGGCTCTCCTCTTGTTCTTGTAGTCGATCTTCTGAGATGTAGTGCCTGTTAATGATATTCAATGTTGCTGCATTCTAATGAAATGGCCAAGCCACTTGATCTGCTAGAACAAGGTGCTATTCCAACATGCTGTTTGATAGGATCATTATTCACTCGACCCCAGATAGTCAGGTTGGTGGCTTTTCTCAGGTGTACATCAATAACCGTAAATACATAAAATATAACTGAATATTTCATTTAAAGAAGTACTATGATAGTAGCTGTCAGATTCTCAGTGACAAAATTATTCTAGCTAATCAACTTCAGAAATACATTTATTCTATAATGAATCCAAAACACCTTGTGTGGCTGGAACCTGCATTACCCCTCACAATTTGTCTTGTAGAGTACTACTGTTGGCCAGATTTCAAAATTTTGATAGTGTTAAGATGTGTTCTCCTGTCTGCTTGACACCTCTGAAGGTGGGCAGTAAGTAATATAATTCAGTGAAGGTGTCTCCAGAGCCTGTATCTTATTATGATGTTTAAAACCAAATTTCCAGGAATAATAAATCATCCCAGGACTTTATGTGATTAGAAAATAAGACAAGGAATTATTGTGTATTACAGAGAATCATTTTAATTTATGGCTGTAAGTGCTAGTAAATGAGCAAGAAAATCCACGGAAACCACAGGAACAAAGTTTTTCACAAGGTTCACTGAGTAATCACGGATAGCCAAGACCTGTAAAGTAAGCGGTAAATGTTTTCAAAAACTTCCTACACAAAAGAATCACTCCAAATAAGTCATTGGGTGACAATCTAAAAAGGCAATGACTGAAAAATAGAACAACTGATTCTACTGGGACCCAGGTGTGCTAGCAGTTTAGTTAGGAGCTTCAAGTATTTCACCCATAAAGAAGCTATACAAGGAAGGATTCTGATACCATGTTTGCAGCCAGGCAAGAAATTGCATTCTAAGCCTTGGCAACCCCAACAAGGGAGAATTCCCTCAATTCATCAACTGATGATATGCAAAGGACCCAGTCTACAGATGAGACTGAAAAGTCTTTTAACTTTCATAGCCAGTGTTTTATGGAAAAATAAGACAGAAGATGCTGGGTAGTATTGCTTCATCCTTTCGGAAATGAACTGATAAAGAGTGCTACAGAATGAAATACAAAACTTATTGTAAAGGGTCTCCTCGATTTACGACCAAGTTCTGTCCTGACTAACAGGCCTTTAGTAGAACTGGTTGTAAGTCAAATTTATAATTCTGAACATTATTTTTAATCCTAATGTTTCATAAAAATTGTACACAGAACACATAAATTTATTCTATGTACGAATAATGAGAGTACATAATTGGAAAAATTCATAATATGTACTTAGTTCCTGGAACTTTTTCACCAAACCAATGTATTATTTTTATTTATTTACTATTTTTATTTATTTATTGCCATTGTGGCATAAGTCTCATAGGTTAAAAGTTGAGGAGAAGGTATACACAGGAACAGTGAACTAATATCAATTATCTCTTAATGCAACAAAGTTGCTGTAATTCAGACAGCTCTAAAAAAAAACTAAAACAAACACTGCTGGTGCCGATATACATAGCACTAAATTCTGAATATTTTGTATAGAAAACACCAGAAAGCAGGACCAATATGTGAATCACTTAAAATGGGCAGACAAATAACATAATGTAAGACAATAACATGTACATGATATACCTGCTGTGGAGACTTGGGTTGCGCTGGTGTATTCTGTGTTGTGGACTGCACTAAAATAATAAAAAGATAAACATTTTCAATTACCAAACTGCATAAAATCCCAAACTATGAAGCAAATAAAGAAATTTGAATGAAAAATGCAATGCAAATAGTAAATATGCCATTTAATTTTTGAAGCACTAAACTAACAAATCAGAAGGTAAACAATTATCAGCAGGAGCTGATTTTAGAGTGATTCCCCTATCTTTAAAAAAAAAAAAATCAATTTTGTTACTGCCTTATTTTCCGCTTTTTAGCAGAAAGGCCAAAGTGTTAGAAGTTTATTATTAGAGCAAGCAATGGCTTCTACAGTTATCACTGCATCATGAGCCTGAGAGGTTGCATTACATTCACTAATTTATACGGACCATATTCTAAGCGAACCATAAAAAATGTATACAAAAGATAATAACAATTTATGCAAGTGCCATATTATTCCGTGTATTATAAAGCAGTGACAGATCACATTAAGCAGGACAATTCTAGAACTTACAAGCTTGTTTAATGGTATCTGCTCTCATCATGTACTCTCTGGCCTTCTCCACAATATTGGGTACTTGTGAACCTGCTTGAGCTGCAGCAAGCAAAGTCTGGGCTGCTTCCTAAGAAATAGATATACCTGTATATGTCTCACAATCACTAAAACACAGTGTTTTCACTATTTTCATCTCCCTGTGTGAATATCAAGGCCCTTTATTTGGAGAAAAAAAAAACACTGTTCCCTCCTACCACCCCCCCCCCCCCCCATGTCATTAACGGGGACTAATTAGAGGTTTGCAGAAATCAGATTTGTTGGACCGAGAGGTGCAGATATCACAGTCTAGCTGTAAATCACAACATAATGTTGTTATTGTCAAACTCAGAAAAAAAAAAGTTTAATTTATCTGACTACTGGGTATCATGGTTGCCGGTCAGCCTAGTGACAGCGGCCACACTGACAAAGAACAGTTGTGGAAACCATAGTACATGGGATAAGAGGCAGTAGCTGATCAAAACAACATAGGACATGACTATTAAAATGATGACCTGCGGGTCAATCTGGCTTGTGGAGACCTAGCAAGTGGTCCGCCAATCACTGTTAGCTGTAGTGTATTAATAATCTTTCTATGCTGGGGCTCAGGCATCTGGTGCGTGACTATCCCTATTTTCAAAATGGTGGTCTTTAAGTAAACTTAGCTGAATAGCCTTCACACTAGACATTTAAAATATGGTGGTCATGAAAATGTCTGCTACATGCTGAGTGTACAGTAACATTCAGAACTAAACTGTAAATAAAGTAACTAACTGTGACTAAAAAATGTTAAAAAAATGTGTGAGTCTTAAACACGTGGTGTATACAGAGAAAACCTAAAGACAAGACAATTTTTAACAATCACAGCTAGCAACATTGACTATTTGATAGCACTGAAAAACAATTCTGGATGACCTATACAAGAAACTTTAAATATGTATGTATGTGTAAAATAACTAATCAAAAATAAGATAATTAGCACTGCCCTTTAGCAGAGACAATTCAAAGTTTTCAAAACAACACTCAAGATTTTTTTCTTCTCATCTGTGTTCAGCTTTGAAAAGGCATTTGGCAAATTGTGGTTTACAGCTAGGCTGTGATATTTGCAACTTTCAGCCCAACACATTGAATTGCAGCACTCTTAATTAGCAGGCTTGTTAAGAGGAAGTGGTTATTATCTTTTCTCTCTCCCCCTTCCACACCTTTTCCAAAACGAAGTGGAATTCACTTAGGGAACCAAAATAAATTCCTGAAATAAGAATTAAAGTCTGAGACAAAATACAGCAATAAGATTAGAAGCATACAAATAAATCCAATGGCTTTGGGATTCTACTGAAACATGGTAGATTTATCTCAGTAATGTTCACTATCATGCACTTACTGCACAATCTGGTATTTAAGAGTTGTTTAATTAATTCCCTTCAAAAAAAAATAACTTTAAAACCTTTCAAATATATATTTTTTGTATTCCTGTTTTTTAAATACCATATCAGAGCTAACAGAAGAAAAGCAAGCGATGTATAAAATAATATAAGAATTATCAGCTATTAGAAAGTTTACAGCAACTAGCTGCTTGAAAACAAAAAAGATAAAATATTAAAGTAAAACTTGAAGGTTATTGAAAAATGTAGAAAGTATATAAAAGGACTATTTAAAGAAAACATCTGATATCTGTTTACACCATTAACTTCGTACATTTAACTATAGGCTTCTATTTTATTGTTCTTCTTTCCTGTGGGGGTTCCAGGGCCCCATCCTGAGGAACAAAAGAACAGACCCACTGTTTGCCTCACAAGCAAGTTATATAAGGTGACTAACTAATGAAGTTTCTCAAAGTTGAAGGGAACATGCATGAGAGGCAAGGAACCAAAAATCTGTGCACAAATAAGCCAGATCTGTAAAACAGATATGCATGCAGAGCTCAAGTTCTGGAACAAAAGTCTAGAAGTCGACAAACCACTAGAACATTCTGCCTGAGGAAAGAAGCATGGACAGATCTGATATTATCAAAGCTGTACGGACTAGGTTGGGAGATAATGGGGAGTCACATACTCTAACACGACTGCATGATTGAGAAGTTCAGCTTGTCTATGGCGTCTTTGAAGTAAAAACAGGTGATACAATAACCAACTCCTCATGGAAACAATTAGAAGAGGTATCTTTGAGTGTCTGCTGCATCAGAGAACTGAGCAAGCATTCCACAGCCCAACATGCAAAGATGTTGATTGCCATAACATAAGATAACTTTAGTCTTAAGTCATATCTGTTTATGGATTGATGGATCTTACGAACAGATACTCTCTGAGCTGAACAGTTTTATTTTATGATTGCTTGCTGAAGGTATTTTTCCTGCCTCAACATAATTATTTGCAGTGTACCTCAACTCTTTTAGGACGGCATTTTTTCTGGGGTTTGGACAGCATTAATTTTAAGCTGAATTTTTTTAGTGCAGCACGACAAAGCTAAAACCTTCCTGAGGAAAATTTATGGGCTGTATCAGGACTTATAATATTTCAAATTAAAGATAAATGAGGGCAGAATAAATCTAAACTACTTAAATGTTAGTATAACATCAAAATATTTTTAAAATCACACAACATTCAAGGATGTTAGACACAAAGAACAATTTTAAACATAAAAAATTGTGTGCTAACTTTTTTTTTTTACTGGTTCAACACAACATTGCTATCCAATTTTAAGAATACACATGCCTTCTCTGTTCAATTATGTATTAGCTAGTCTTTATTTAAAACAATTAATTTAAATACTTTGGATATTATAATCATTTTTGTATGACATGTCCATTTTCACAACAACCGAAAATTTTGAAAAACAGCTGATCGAAACATTGATCTAATTGAAATACTTTGTGAAATTTTCATTTCCTAAACTAAATTATCGCTAGTAGATGTGTCCCTTAGATATGAATCATAATATCAAGACTGTTGTCACCATCTGGCAGGGATTCATCAACGATAGAGCAGTATGGACAGTTCTAGACCTTTTCCCTTATCATTTAGTATAGAAAAATCACGTAAAAATTGTATCCCATCTAAATATTTTTTTTTTAAATCACAAAATAATGCACCGACCACGATGAACATCGCAAATGAAAGTACATCCTGTTGTTAATCCTAATTGTTAAAAAACTTGTTCATAAAAGTTTGTTTACCTTACAAACGGAACAAAATTATAGTGTCTCTATGCATCTGATATACAAGTGGGTCGCTGTGGTTAAGTGGTCAAGCCGTTTGCCTCGCACTCTGAAGGTTGTGGGTTTAACTCATGGCTGCGTTGTTCCGTTCATGAGTGCAATATTTACAGAGATTAATGGGGATCGTCACCGGAACTACGGAGCGACTAGACGTTCTACGGAGAGACTAGACGTTCTACAGAGAGAGAGACTGAGCCATATTAATTAAACTCAGTCGCAATTAAGTCGATTGTCTTGACTTTGAAATTTAATCAGATACACAAAAGACAGGGGACTACTTACAGTATAATAGAAGATGGCCAGATCAAAATGCTGAGCTTGATCATGTTGTACAGCCAGATGAGCTAAATGTACTCCTTCATTCTGCAGAACTGTAGGATCAGCACCATGGTATCCCGAAGAGGGGTCAGACATCACTACTCCCTGCAGACTGGTGCACACAAACAATTACATTATCTTTCAAACCCAGCATAATAAACATTAGTAGTAGATAATTTTCTGGCAGGTGTATGGGAAGTGAAAGAGACACTGGAGAGAACTGGCCACCTGGTCTCATATGTTATAATGTTTTATGTGATGGCCTACATTACCTCACATTTCACTATTCAGCATAGATCAAAACCAATGCCGTCTCTAATTAATAAATAGAGAAGGCCGTGATCAAAACAAAGGTAACTACTGTCAGGCTACCTCTTTTATTTCTTGTGTCTCATAATCTGTTTAAATCACCACTAATTATTGGCATCATGTGGCTAACAGACTGGTTGCGGGAAAGAAACAGAATGACAGATAACAGACAGACAAAAACTGTATACACAAAAGATATGAATGGAAATAAACTTTCACTTATCTTCTTTTTCAATCAAAGGCCAGTAGCCTTTGTAAAATCTCCCGGTGTACATTATAGCTTTGTCTTCAATGAGTAAAGATTTCAATAGGCTGGACTGCTCCTTTGTTAGGCTCAGCCGTACACAATTTAGTGTTGGAGTACATGCTCTTCCTTTTCTAGTGCCACATTGCAGGGACACATCTCTTGTGTTTCCTAAATCACAAAATGTGAACACAAGGCAAAGTCTATTGCATCCTGCGCGGATGGAGGGGCTAAACTAGGTGCCTGGGACTCACAAGCAAATTAATTGGAGGAAGATACAGGAGATGTGGTAGCTGCTGCTCGTGAGTCTCAGCCATCTAGTTTAGCCCCCATCCGCGCCACTATGCGCGGTGCGGGGGATACGGTCGGCGGTGAGGCATAGTCACAGAAACAGGTCCGCAATTAACATATGGCTGAGACTTTGTTAGAGCATTTGTTTTACTATACGGAGCCGATCCTAATTTTGCCGCGATTCGTTCGTTGCCGGAAGTTTGCATATTTTTAAATGGACTGAGCCCTGTAAGGATATTTCAGGCCGCCATAATGCGGGGGTAAAGGTTCGGAGGAGAACCGGTTTGACTAAGCCCTGCAACTTCGAGAGATAACACTAACACTGGATGGCAAACCAAAGGGCAAATCCATGATACTGTACCCAGTTCAACTCCAAGTTATTTTAGTTATAATAAATAAGGGAAGTCAGGATGTAATCCAATCTGCAGCCCTCTGGTGTAAAGGTAAAATTTTCATTTACAATAACATTTCATTACTCATTATTGAAAACAAATTCCATTAATATTATTAATATATATATAATACACAACTCGTTAATAGTTCTAGTAGTATAGTCCTAGTCCTAATACTATATGTCAGAGAAAAGAATTTAGAGACAAATCTTGATGTCTCATTAATTTATTTCGGACCAGTCAAGCTGAATTATGATAGTTTTGCTTTGGTAAAGAAGGACTGGGTAAGGGAAACCACAAGTCAAAAACACTCAACACTGTTGAAAAATTTCTCATTTAATATTTGAAATAAATCAAATCAAATCTAGCTTGTTGTCCTGTCTCATTATATGTGGTATTTAAATATGAAACTGCCTTACCTAAACGATGTCTATAGTACTGACAAGTCTATAACTTGTGGTCTATGGTTCTATAAAATAAATCTCCCCATTAGAGACTGTTGCAATAGTTATCTGCCTGTGTATAGACCGAGAATAAGGGCCCATAATGCTAAATGACAATACAAAATAAAACAACCAACACTTCCTTATTATTAAATCATAGTTTTTAACTAACCAAAGTTGCCAGCAGTGTTGCCACTTATCTTTGACAAAAAACATGCAAAACGGAGTCAAAAATATCTTAAAACATCTAGAAAAAAACATCCATTTGGAAAGAGTCACAAATTACAGAGCAATTGATATCTTCTTCTTCTTCTTCTTGGCGTTCACCAGCTGTAAACTCTGGCGGAAGGTTCTGGTTGCTCGTCCACTACTGAACTGCAGTCCTGCTCCAGAACCTGAGTGTTGCATGTGCATCAGTTTTACAGACTTCATTTTCTTGAATACAGACTGTTGGTTCCTTGCCTCTCCGGCAGATGCACTCCGACTTCAAAGAAAGCTCCCCAATTAGTCGACTCTTACGACATGCTTTTGGGGAGGCAGTGGGTCTATTCTTGTTTTCCCCACAACGGGGCCCCGGAACCCACACGATGGAAAATTGATATGACTTACCCTGTAGAACCATGTCCTCATCTTTACTGAAGTCAGCCTTACAAGATCCACAGGATAAACTTAGCTTGGATGATGAAATTGAAGCTTCAGATCCAAAATGAATCTGGTATGCTTTAGCTGTTCCAATTTCTTTTAATACCCAATCAGGGAGATGATAAGTGGAATAGCCTTTTCCTACTCTTATCAGGCCGAATTTTATTTTCAAGATAGTATTTAAGAGGTCAAATTTCATCCTGTTTCTTAAGTTATATTTGATAAATTCACTCATAATGGAAAACATCTAGAAAAACATCCACCATATAAACGTCAAAAACGCTATCTAAATGCAATAAATTAATCAGGTCACAGAAAGTGTATTGATGGGCACTCATAGAAAGAAGTAGAAAGATAGAAGAACACAATAGACAACATAAAAATCGAAAGCTATAGTTACCGTGCCGGGAATTGAACCTGTCACCTCCAGACGGCGTCTGTATATCTAAATGTAAGAGAAAACATCTAAATCTGGACGTAAAACATCCAAAGTGGCAACACTGGTTGCCAGGAAAATTAAGTCACAGCTGTCCAACAGGGCCAAAACTGAAACAATGTAGGAAGTACACCCGAGTTCAGATTAATTTTCAAAAATGTAAAAGTCGTCAGTTTAATTATGCCATTATCAAAGGATAATAATAACATTAATAACTACTACAAATCAGTTAATTGTTGAGCTGACGAAGGCAACTATAAGATATCGCCTTCAGTCAAAATACTGAAGGTAGGGTCAAATCATTCATGGAACAGATCATTCACAATAATTACAGTATACTCATAACAACTGTCTGAAAGAAACGACTACGTGGTAATTACAGTAAGAACTAGCAAAAAGCCACATGAAAGTTCCAACTGAAGTAGATATCCCAAATAAAACCCAAATGGTTCAACAAGATTTTTTTTTTTTTTTTTTGGGGGGGGGGGGGAGGGGGGCGGTGAATATATTACAAAGACAGTATAGACAGATCACAATAATAGAGTAGCCATTTGAATCACACCACAGTCTTTATACCACTAAATATATGATGGGAGGGGTGGGGGATTTCGGCATTTGACCTCAATCATTCGAGGAGGTGCCGTCACGACAATAAGTTAGGCTGCAATGGACCACCATCTTTCGACCTGGTTATACAATGCAGTTCTTGTTCCGCTGTTTTTTCTATCTCTTGACGTTGTCCTCCAACTTTAGTTTTTAAAAGGAGTACAAAATTATGAAGAAGAAAAAAAGTTGGTAAGAAACAACAAACAGTTTATGTTAGCTTTACAAAATCGATCACAATAAACGAACAAAGGACGTTGCGGCGATTAGCCTTCATCAGCACATAAAGAACAATACAGTACACATACACAATATGCTCTAACTATGAAGTGACTACATGGGACTAATGTACACAATAAATGATACTCATCTGTGTTCCTGGCGAAAAACTTCCTTCAAAAGGATGTCAAGGACAGGTACTGGCGCATTAATCACCAACGCACGGACGGGAGCAAAAAACGGGTCCATAGATAGATAGATGGATGGATAGATGGATGGATAGATAGATAGATAGATAGATAGATAGATAGATAGATAGATAGATAGATAGATAGATAGATAGATAGATAGATAGATAGATAGATAGATAGATAGATAGATAGATAGATAGATAGATAGATAGATAGATAGATAGATAGATAGATAGATAGATAGATAGATAGATAGATAGATAGATAGATAGATAGATAGATAGATAGATAGATAGATAGATAGATAGATAGATAGATAGATAGATAGATAGATAGATAGATAGATAGATAGATAGATAGATAGATAGATAGATAGATAGATAGATAGATAGATAGATAGACTAGATAGATAGATAGATAGATAGATAGATAGATAGATAGATAGATAGATAGATAGATAGATAGATAGATAGATAGATAGATAGATAGATAGATAGATAGATAGATAGATAGATAGATAGATATAGATAGAAAGATAGAAGGATAGATGGATAGATGGATAGATGGATAGATGGATGGATGGATGGATGGATGGATGGATGGATGGATGGATAGATGATGGATAGATAGATGGATAGATAGATAGATAGATAGATAGATAGATAGATAGATAGATAGATAGATAGATAGATAGATAGATAGATAGATAGATAGATAGATAGATAGATAGATAGATAGATAGATAGATAGATAGATAGATAGATAGATAGATAGATAGATAGATAGATAGATAGATAGATAGATAGATAGATAGATAGATGATGGATGGATAGATGGATGGATGGATAGATGGATGGATGGATGGATGGATGGATGGATGGATGGATGGATGGATGGATAGATGGATGGATGGATGGATAGATAGATAGATAGATAGATAGATGGATGGATAGATAGATAGATAGATAGATAGATAGATAGATAGATAGATAGATAGATAGATAGATAGATAGATAGATAGATAGATAGATAGATGGATGGATGGATGGATGGATGGATGGATGGATGGATGGATGGATGGATGGATGGATGGATGGATGATGGATGGATGGATGGATGGATGGATGGATGGATGGATGGATGGACGGACGGATGGATGGACGGACGGATAGATAGATAGATAGGACGGATAGATAGACAGATAGACAGATAGATAGACAGATAGACAGACAGACAGATAGATAGACAGACAGACAGACAGACAGACAGACAGACAGACAGACAGACAGACAGACAGACAGACAGACAGACAGACAGACAGACAGA